TCCTTTTGAAAAGTCGTCTATGGAAAGAGCATACCCAACTAATTAAAACAATAGACTGAGAGAATATCATACCAATAGACTAAATGAAGACCCCTCCACCCGAAAAAGGGAAGTGGATACTGTATCCAGCCTTACTAGAAAGATAGACCGTGTAACTTTCCAGGCCAAGAAGGAAGACCTAGCCGCTCAAAACTCGTTTCACTATTTATCCTTCTTTTAAAGGCTCAAGTGAGTATAAAAGATAAGTACAAGCAGATGCCACCTTTTTTGTTGAAGAGTTCGCACCTCCATCTCTATAAACTAACTTCAATAATACAATTCGGGTGTACATACCACTTTCTTTCCACTTCGGTGCCACATTAATCCTAAGTAGAAGAGTTTGCCCCTCCATCTATAGAAAATCTTCAATAATACCATTCAAGTGTACTTTTTTTTTTCTTTCTTTTCTTTTTCTTTTTCTTCTTCTTCATTTTTGGTGCCACAAATTTAGAGTTGATTGGATTTTGGAGAACTAATTTAGAAATTGATGCCATTCTTCGTAAATAGCATAGATTCTCTTGTCTAGAGTTGTTTTTAAAGTTTTACCTAAACGACTAAATATAATAAAATTTATATGCAAAGATGACAAATCTTACTATAGGTGCCTCTACACGAACTTCAGCATTCAGCAACCAAACATGAACTAGTACCACAGACATGGATCCTCAACCGATCTTATAAGGGATCACATATCCTAAATTTATTTATAGAGAGCACATTGAATAAAATTAGTATTTCTTATTGATTTCTTCTACGTAATACTAATTGATAGGGCCTCATTAGTAAGACATTAGGTTTGACCGATGGAGACGTTATACATCCTAGCTTGAGGAAACTTTGTATTATGGTCACATCGACTACGTCAAAGGAAGGGAAGCCAACTTAGTCCATGAATTGAGAAACCTCACCTCCACGGTGAACTATGCCAGTGTTTGGTTAAACGTCCCCCTCGTTCACATCAGACCACTACCCAATTATCATGACTCGATCAACGAATATGCAGCTCGGTTACTTTAAATTCGAATACATGTAGTTGGGGCATCACTCTTTTGAGCCTTTTTGGGATGTTGGAGGCATAGCAAATAGATGTCTGGATGGCTCGGTCACGGGTTCATACAAAAACTAAAGGCATTTAAGGGTTTCTTAAAAGATGTCTTAGAGTGTTCATGGTGCTTCGAGAACTGGTGTTCTTGGCCACATGGTAGGGTAAAGTCTCATGTAAAGTCTCTCAAGCACGGATTGCTCATCATATGATGGTAGCCCCGGTCTAAATGTCAAAAAAGTTGATTTGGCCAATGAGTTTCATCGTAACTTTACTATTGTAACGGAAGCGGAAGAAAGATCGATCACACTCACATACCTACAAACAGAAATTAAATAAAGAAACACAAAGATTTACGTAGTTTGGAGAGAAGAAATTCTCGTACATTCATGAGTCATGAATGCATCAATAAAGCCGATACTTTGCTCAAAAAGGCCCTTGAATAGTCTCCTCCTCAAATTTGTGCGTCCTTTGTCACGATAACTTCGAATCTTTGATGCATTTGTTCACTGAATGCCAATTTTCTCATCCTTTTTTGGAAGAAAATTCGGAAAAGTGTAAAAACCGCTGTTGGATTTCTTGGAGAGAAGTGTAAAAACCTGATTTTAACCTTTTGATCTGAGTGCTTTTTGGTCTATAATTCTTGATTAAAGTTGTTCAGAATATTATTCTCTATTGATCTAAAGTTTTGAAAAAGGAATGAGAAAACCGCTGTTGGAGCACGATTATGGCTCGATTTTTTTCTAGATCCGATCTTAGGAGTTAGAACCTCAAATTTAGATATGTTTCATAACTCTGTCACATTCCAAAATTTCGAGGCATTGAAAGATTGAGAGTGCCTTTACCCTGCAATGCATGAAAAAGAAAGAACATGTACAAGAAAATTCAATTATAAAATTTCCGCGAGAGTTTAAAACTTTGTAAGTAAGAAGAAGGAACCAAAGTATGTTAAAGTAACTATACATGTGTCAAGTTCATACAATGGGGAAAATTGCATCTGTATGTTAGATGAAAGCTGAGGTTTCTTATTTAGATTTACACGTTTTCATTAGTTAATTAAATATTTTCCTTTGACTGTTTCAATAACAGGTAGAATGAATTATCAATTTTGTAGGTGGTTTGAAGAAAATGACACAGATTTAGTTGGTCACTCTACTCATTTTAGGATAGTTAATTATTTAAATATGTGAATCGATTGAGATGAAAAATCACCTCATTTTAAGCAAAAGTCAAAATTGCAATTCTCTCTGTTATTTTTTATTTTTTGCATTTTTATTTTCTTCCAACAACTTCATGTCAAACGATTTACTCTCACCGATTTCACTTGCTGATTGTCGAAAAATAACAAGTGGTATCAAAGCTTAGTTGAAGCCATCGGTGGTATATCATTGCGGAGGAGCCAACCTTATCAACAGTTAAGTTGAATAGCTCAAGTGGTTAGAGCGTTGACCTAACAACACACAGATCTCAGGTTAGAGTAAAAGAAAATGTCAAGGGTGAAAATACACACATTGCTTGACGTGAACGACCTAATAGTGGAAGAGGTGACCAGAAGACTGCGTAACGTCGAGTAACAAAAGAAAAATACAGCTTCAGCTGTCGACAAGGAGGGTCGTCTACTCCTCATGGAGGACGAATGACTTGCACGCCTAAAGCTCCGCCGACAACACCGGCGAGAGCAACGGGCCCTCCAGCCGCAAAGGCGGTTGGTAAGGAGCCATGAAGTCCCACGGGCGCACGCGAGGGAAAGATGAAGATCAAAAGAAGGTTGACGACGACGTCGAACTCGAGGAAGAGCTCCAGCTGGACGTAGCAACCCGAGGAAGAGCTCCAGCTGGACGTATCAAAAGGTGGCACTAGCTGGGGAGCCAATTCAACTGAAGGAGGAGCGGAGCTCTACTCGGAAATTCACGGGACGGTGAAATTTGGCTACGGCTCCATCGTTGAGATCGAAGGGCGCGGGCTACTCAAAATCTGCGATAATTGACAACGGTTGCTCACGCAAGCGCACGACAAACCGTCTTTACATCCTGGAGTTAGAGATAGAGCAACCCGTCAGCCTCTCGGCCAAAACCGAAGAGGTATCTTGGATGTGGCACGCAAGGTACGGGCATTGAACTTTCCTGGTCTAGAAAAACTACACAAGGAGGAGATGGTGCACGGTTTGCCGGTTTGCCGGCAATCAAAGGCGCACCCCCTTTCCGTCTCGGACGTCCTACCGCGCCGATGAGCCATTGGAGCTTGTACATGGCGATATCTGCGGGCCCATCAAGCCAGCAACCCCAAGCGGTAAGACCCTCTTCCTCCTATTGGTCGATGACAAAACCCGTTTCATGTGGTTGATCCTGCTGCAAGCGAAAAGTGAGGCGGCAGAGGCGGTTAAGCGCATTCAAGCACGAGCGGAGGTCGAATGCGGGAGGAAGATATGAGTGCTGCGCACAGACCGAGGCAAAGAATTCACCGCAACAAGTTTCGGTAAGTACTGTGATGAGTTCGGTATACAACGGCACCCTACTCCCCCCAGCAGAACGGAGTGGTGGAACGCCAAAATCAGACCATCGTCGGGACAAGGACAGGATTCATGGTGTATGATAAATTTCAACTATGCGTGAGTAATCTAGATAGACGCTTCGGGTCAACATTTTCTCTGTGACTTTCGAGCTCTCGAGCACTTCAATATATGATCTGTAACTTCACCGACTTGAAAAAAGTATAGAAAGGGATAAGTATAAATATACCTAGTAAGCAACCTACTTGTAGGTTCTTATCGAATCCAAGTCTTAGGGGAGAACCACCAATTATGCTCTATAGAGTCTAAGTACTCTCAGTACACAGCTCGGGTAGAAGAACTTAACCTTCATAGCGGTATTCGTCATCTGAGGATGAGGCGCTGCCTCATATAATTATGTACCAAGGTGGGAGACATCATGGTGAGTACTAGCCTACTCGTCATCCATGGCAAAGTTAGTTGGCAAACTCGCCCCACAGCCCACCCCCGGTACAAACGAGCTCGAACAAGTCACCCGTGTGGTCAACATCCTTCCATAAGAAGGATCTGCGTCATCCATGGCAAAGTTAGTTGGCAAACTCGCCCCACAGCCCACCCCCGGTACAAACGAGCTCGAACAAGTCACCCTTGTGGTCAACATCCTTCCATAAGAAGGATCTGCGTCATCCATGGCAAAGTTAGTTGGCAAACTCGCCCCACAGCCCACCCCCGGTACAAACGAGCTCGAACAAGTCACCCGTGTGGTCAACATCCTTCCATAAGAAGGATTTGTCATGCAGGCAACCTTGACCTACCCGCGTGATCAACATCCTACCATAAGATGGATCCACCATATAGAGTAGTCGATCTACCACTGAGTAGCACAATCCTAACCCGCGTCTCGTCAAGATCGACGTTACAACACTGGAGTAGAAAGGGAACTGGAAGGCCCTTGGATGCTATACCAGCTCCTGTCAGCTAAGGGATCTTTTTCCTTCATCCTGGGGTTCTGAGGTGGTTCTCCAAGTCTCGAGGGTAGTTAGGTGGTTTTGATGGGGACTCCGACTTCCATATTCACTCAATCAAGATTTCCAAGTTTGTAGCGGTCTAGGGTTAAAGGGGTCTCACCCTCAAGTCGTTCCTCACGATACCTCTAAACGCAACGTTTGGATGGTCCTTATCTCAACCTAACCTAGTCACTACGAAAGTACTCCTTAGGCTTAACCCAAGTGCTACTACTTATCATTCACAGAATACGTTCACACAATCAATTAGTAGGGGTTTAAGTACGTTTAACTAAGCTTGCAGTCACACAAGCTCAGTGGGACTATAACATCCATCAAACACCCGAAGTGTAGATACACAAATATCCCGTTTGCCAACATAGCATGATTAAATATAAGCAATAGTAGAGCATTTGAGATGAGCATATAGAAATTTCAACTTGAAATTCCATCCAAGTAGGAAGTCCATCACATGTACAATTAACTTAGTGGGTACAAGATATTTCGGATCTAACCACCTAGGAGTAATTTTCTCTAGCAAGCATGAAATATGAAACTCACCCTACAAGTATTCTCCCTAATTCTATGTGGTACTTATCGATTTGGACCGCGAGTTATCAGGTCACTTCACGACATGCGAGTTAGTTTTCAATTCGAGTTGATTTCGGCGTTGCACATGTTTCTCCACTGCATGCTTGACACATGTCCTTCCAGTTGCCAGATGTATCTCTCCTCTCTTTGACCGCCGCATGTTCTTCGCCATTGCCTGAAATGATTTATTTCTCAAATTCATGTTTCAAACTATTTTGTTTGGATTTTTCTAAACTTCTGATATATAACTCTAATCAACTAGATTTATTCATAAAATTTCAAGACCTCAAGTCCACATATCCATAGATATTTTTCTTGAATTTTTTTCAAACTCATAGGCCCTAGTAAACGAGTTTGAAGAAAAAAAAAAAAAAAAAAAAAAATTAAGTTTCGTACTGGAGTTGGACGTTTCTCAATTTCGATTTTCGACATAATTTTTGGTCGAGTTTCAACACGAAACTTGTAAGAATCCTTCCGGTAGTTTAGTTGAGTACTAAGATAAATCAACAAAAAAAAAAAATCCTCAGATCTAGGGTGAAATCCTAAAAGAAAAGATCTGCAAACTTACCTCGCGTTCTTGCACATTTCTTGACAGAATCAAACTATCCAAAAGCCCAGACCACTCTTCCTTAATCCTCCGAGTAGAACTGGAGGGAGGTCTTAGATCAATAGTACTTTGGTGTTCAGATTTGAGTGTTTTACCTTCTTCCTCTTCTTCTTTCAAACCTTAACTCCTATTCTCTCTTCCTTTTTCATTTTTTTTCCTTTTTTCTTTTCCTTGCAAGTCTGGCCCGACCCCGAAAGTGGTGCACAGGAAAAAATTACTTTTTTTTATCGTTGACTTTGACCCAAATTTTCCATTTAATCAACATTTTTCTAAGTTCCTTGTAGTGTTCCAAGTATTTTTTCATTTCACACCCGTTTGAAAATCACACTTTAAAGCCTCCAATAAAATCTAAGAACCTATAAAAGTTAGGAGAAAATTTATTATATTGAAGTGTGAACTTATTATATTGAAGTGTGAGTTTGTACTTATTGAGCTCGAGGTGTTACATACTCACCATTTTCCTATTAATTATTCCATTTATACTGATTAGCAAGCATGAAATAGTTTATTGTAGTACATAAAGGAGATCAATTTTCATAAATCTAGCCAAATTGTATATTTAATTAGTTATTTTGGAGAGAGACAAAATCATTATGCTTAACTTTGATACTATAGCAAATCTGAGTCCAATCTTATTAGTAGTGACATTTGTTAAGTTGTGTGCTAAATCAATTCTGAACGTAATTCTATCTGAAAGGATACGAAAATTTTAACCCGAATCAAGTCATGCAGATTATTGATAACCCAATATGCTTGCTTAGCTAGTCATTTACTTGTTTCTTTTCTTCAGTAGGAGAGTGAGCATAGGAGTCCTTAATACTCTAGCTCCATTGCAAGGATGCTTTGCAAGGCATAAGAGTTGAGAATAATTCTTCTTCTAAAAGTTTATTAACAGAAATTAACAATGATTATGGAACATGACTCTTGGAAGATGGATCAAGGAGGATTATGAAACATTAGAATCGTGAGAGACAATTAGAGGGTGTTGTGACCTCTAGTGCTTATGACTAATCAAGGCTCAAGGAATCGAAAAAAGAAACTTGGAGACGTGAATCTATGTCAATACTGCCAAACCACCCTTGAGACCTAGAATACAACCATGACAACCCTGAAAAATAAAGGTAGAAAATATTGATTACCAGGATAACTGGATCATTTGAAGGTATTTGCTACAATTGCGGGAAGAGGGCCACATATCAAGGGATTGTTGGTCCAAGAAAATGTCAGTCAAAATCAATGTGGCAACCACCAAAAATGAGATAGAGGATGAATGGGATGCAAAGGTTATGTGCCATAGAAGAAGACGAACTAATGCTCATGGCGATGATGGGAGAGCATATCGATTATGAGAATAACTGGATCATTGATTCAAGATACTCAAACCATATGATTGACGATCAGAGTGACACAATGGAAATAGGGTGACCCTCGAAGAATGAAGTATTAGCATACTTGGACAACAATTAAAAAAATTCTTCCATAAAAGACAGGGGAGAAAACTGTACACACTTGGTTAAGTTTTGATGTGCTTGAAGATCAAAGTGACACTAATGTTGGTGAGAAAGGAGTGACTCAACCAAGCGAATCCAATGAAAAGGAAATAATACATCTACAACTCAGACGGTTAGAATGAATCTAAAATCCAAATATAAACTATGTCCATACTTTTATGATAGAAGACGAAGTTAAAGAGCGAGAGATGTATGAAGAAGCATCACAAAATACGGCTTTGTAGCAGGCAATGGAGAAAGAAATTATAGTCTTAGAGCAAAATCAAACTTGGGAACTAGTGTCAAGACTAGGAGATATCAAACTCATTTCTTGCAAGTGGGTTTACGAAATAATGTGCCTCTGGATGGAGCAATCGAGAGATACAAAACTCGAACTGTAGCTTCAGGGTTCTCTCAACTATATGGACTAGATTATGATGAAACATTTAGTCCAGTGGCAAAAATCACTATTGTACAGGTTCCTCAAGCACTTGTGGTAAGTAAACATTGAAAATTATGGTAGATGGATATGAAGAATACTTTCTTGCACGGAGAGTTAAACATGGAGATCTACATGGATCAACCAAAGACATCTAAAAATGGAGTTGGAGTCATTAGTCGGTACACGTAAAGTCTAAAGAAGTCTCATTTGGATGTGGCTCGACAGATCCCGCGATATATCAAAGGTACAGTGACTATGGTCTTTTGTACAAAAGAAGCAAAGACTTCAACCTAATTGGATACTGTGATGCTGACTATGCAAGATATCATGATACTCGAAGATCAAGCACCGATTATGTGTTCAAGCTCAATTCAAAAATAATTATTTTGGTGTAGCAAAAGACAACTAATAGTGTCATTATCAACTACAGAAGTGGAGTACATATCCGTTACTGAATCAACTTAAGAAAGTACATGACTAAAACTCTGAATGAAGGATTTGCATAAATACGTTGACAATCAGCCACCACTTCATTGCAACAACCAATATGCAATTCGTTTAGTAGAAAATCCAATGTTTCATGACAGAACGAAGCATGTGGAAGTGTACAACCATTTTATTAGAGACAAAGTCTTGAAAGAAGAATACGGATGACCAAGTGACAAACTTGTCTACAAGATGGCTGAACACTGACCAATATGAAGACTTTCTCTGTCAACTCAACATGGTCCAACGAATGAGAACTAGTGTTGAAGGGAAGTATTAAAATATCATTACTAACCCAGTTAGGCCTAGCCTAATAATGGTATTAGCCAATCATCTACATATTTTATGAAAATAATTTAGGTATTTTAGGAATTAAGACACCTAAGTATTTTAGAAATAAATGATTAGATATTTTAGGAATAAATTGTTTAGCTTCTATGGTAAATATCCCTCTACCCTATCCAGATTTTATCTTAAGAAATCGAAGAATAAAGCAAAATGTAGTAGTATTCTACATAATGTCTTGTAATCTCTTCTCGATTAGTTTTAAAAAAAAATGTAAATGTTTTCCACCGAGAGTTGTGTTTAAAAAAAAAAAACAAAATATTAGAGTATGAAACAAAACAAAATATGAACTCAATTCACGTTAGCTATTTCTCAAGCATCTGAGTTTAATGAATATTTGTATAAGTCCAAACCTACCACTAGTAGATATTGTCTTTTTTAAGCTCTCTCTTTCGAACTTCCTCTCAAGGTTTTTAAAATGTGTTTGCTAGGGAGAGGTTTCCACATCCTTGTAAAAAAATGTTTCATTTCCTCTCCAACCGAGGTAGGATCTTACGATCCACCCTCTTCAGGGCCTAGTGTTCTTAATAGCACTCGTTCCTGGGATCTCACAATCCTCCTCCCTTGGGACCTAGCATCCTTGCTGGCACTCATTCCTCTCTCCAAAGTCCAGCATCCTCGCTGACACTCGTTCCTCTCTCTAATCAATATGGGATCTCACAGTAATTATCTCCTATGATTGATAAGATTATCTTCGTATGGATGCAACATTTCATTCCACAAGTTTCATATTGATTATCAAATTACAAAAAGTGAAAAGACTTACCCACTCGACGAAGAAACGCACCACACGAACGTGAAAAGATGCTCATGAACGAGTCACGTACCACCATTAATTTCTAACCTTACATGATCTCCTTCTCTGACTTCTCGACCTACAAAAAACCAACCCTAAACACATCAAAAACAGGTGTGAAAAGTTGGTACCCCATATGATGTCAATACATATGAAAGATGGCCTTAAATGGGAAGCTAAAGGCATGAATTTAGTAGAAATTAAAGAAAGAGCAATCATTTATGCATATTATCTTCAAAACCCAACAACCACTTAATCACTGTTCATTAACCACGCTTTTGTAAGACTGAAACAAAAAAAATTGGTTTAGAGAAGACATGACCATACCACCGTGTTTCATGGAGAAAAGTGGGATTACCACAAATTCTTCTTTCTTCTCCTATGGCCACATTCTCTCATTTTCTCTTACAAATTTGATGCTTTCTTGGTCGTGAACGTATATATGATATCGCTTCATGCTTAACTTTCTTATGTCTGTTTTGATTTCTAGTATATAAGTTGTCGGGATGCAAATATAGTCTAGCGTGACAAAGATTTTGGATGAGTAAATGATAATATCTCTATTTACTCATACAACCTCATTTAGAGTTTAAGTCGATAACTTCATATCAATAATAGAGATATCGAGAAATTCATATTCTATACTAGACTTCATTAATCGAGAGTTTTTGGATTCAAAGAAAAATTGATGAAGTAGCATAAAAATGTAATCTTTTTTCGTTTAAATTTCATTTCATTGGTTATTTAGACACATTAACTAGATATCTTGATGATAGCTTTCCTCATGTTGTTCATCTCGTTGATTGTTGGTCTCTTGTCCTAGTTTTTCTGAAGTGTTCGTTGAGTTTCTTGTGATTCCATGTCACTAGTTTTTTTGTTTGGTACAATTTACTAAAATAATGATTGCATGAATGGCTATTCTTGCAAAACTAATTGGATTAGAAATGATTCATATTCTTGAGATACTTTTAGTTTATTTGTAAGAGTTAAGTTTATTGGTAAGAGTTGCTCACCGCAGATATGGTTCTTTTTGGGCTTTTTCTTTCGGGCTTTCCTTCAAGGTTTTTAAAAACGTCGGCTATGGAGAGGTTTCCACACCCTTATAAAAATATTTTGTTCTCCTCCCCAACCGATTTGAGATTTCACACTACGCGTTCGTGTGAGATCCCACGTCAATTGAGGAGACGAACGAAACATTCTTATAAGGGTTTGGAAACTTCAACCTAGCAAACGCATTTTTAAAATCTTGTGGGGTAATCCGAAAGGAAAATCCTAAAGAGGACAATATCTTATAGCAGTGGGCTTGAGGATTATGATCATAGTATATAATACACCAATTTGTTTAACTATTTTAACTAAAATGATTACCAAATCTAAGCATAACGCAAGTGATTAAGAAATTACTAGAGGATTGAAGGTAAGTAAAGTAAATAGATTCTCGTCAGGGAATGAATGAATATCGCCTGTCTTTCTCGTTGTGGATTCCGATTCATACGGTCGTTCTCCGCAAAGATTTTCTTTCAGCTGCTACTAAGGTGAAGG